AACCCCTAAAGCCTTAAACCCCTAAGGTGCAGCCCGCCGTGTCCCTGGGCTTCTTGGTGGTATCTCGGCTCTCGGAAGCGCAGAACGCAGGGGCTCAGAAAGAAGAGAGACTCCACTATTTCTTAATTAAGGATGATACCTTAAATCATATTTGGGATCCTACTATAGTTTAAAGTAGTACCAATATGGGGGTTTCCGAAAATAGGGGACCCTAATATAGTACCCTAAATAGTAGGATCCTTATTATAAGGACCCCAAAATAAGGTACCCCCAATTTTCGGAAACCCTCATATCAGTGTTGGGGCTCCTTCATATCAATATATAGTATATTCTAACTATTACGGCCCCTACCAGACGAGAGCCGAAAACACCGAAACAGTCGGACTTCGGGAATCCGTTTTAGGGGGTTGGGGGTGCTAGGGTTTAGGGGTTTAGGGTTTAGGGGTGTTAGGGCTGTAGGGGTTTGGGTGTTAGGGGTTAGGGGGTTTAGGGTTTAGGGCGTAGGGCTTTAGTGGTTTAGGGGTTTGGGTTTAGGGTGTGGGGTGTAGGGTTCAGGGGTTTTGGGTTTAGGGGTTTGGGGTTAAGAAGGGTTTATAGGTTAGGGTTTAGGGAGTTTAGGGCTTAGGGTTTCGGGTTTGGGGTTTAGGGGTTAGGGTTTGGGGTTTAGGGGTTTAGGGGTTAGGGGTTTAGGGGTTAGCAGGCCACTTGCAAAAGCGTTTCCGTAGCTTCGGGTTAGCAATGAGGGTCTTGCAGTCTAGGGTGTAGAATTCATCAGACTATTGTTAGGGCTTTCTCAGGGGTCCTTATGGTTGGAGTCTCGGTTTGGGGCTTAAGGGTTTGGGCGGTGGAGAGTTCGATGTTCAGACACATCATTTTACCCTAAGCTAAAGAACGAGCGCAGCCTCCTAGCCAAAAGTTTCCAGGCTGTTTGCTGGGTGTTGGGTAGTTGGCTTTGCTGTCTAGGCTCGGCCTTTCGACATCTGATCATGGTGCCCGATACAGGGAGATTGAACGGCTGCCAGTTACGTTTGCCATCCTTTGAATGCCTTTCCGAAATCTCGTATTGCAACAGCACTCCTCATCAACTGCCGAGGCGTTTAAGCGCAAATCTGGGAGGTTAGGTTTTGATGGAACTGAATTTAAAGTTCAAGACCCATGCCCACGCAATATACATATACGCACGCACATACACATACATACACGCATGCATACACACACACACACACATATATATATATATATATATATGTGTGTGTGTGTGTACACACATTCAGATTTTCCCGTATGTAGACGTATATACCTATTGATACACATACACACATACAGATAGATAGATAGATAGATAGATAGATAGTTAGATAGAAAGATAGACGGCTCACAGATAGATAGGTAGATAGGTACGTAGATAGATAGATGGTTCCAGAGTTAGAGAGAGAGAGAGATAAATAGATAGAGATAGATATAGACATAGATCATATGGTATTGATATAGAGACAGTTACAGAAATAGATATACAGATAGATACGTATATAGATAGACTTAGAGATAGAGATATAGATATGCATATAGATAAATAGATAGATAGATACATAGACAGATAGATAGCTAGCTAGATAGATAGATAGGTTTGCATATATATATATATATATGTGTATATATATATATACACCTACATATATATATATATATATATCAATATCAGGTCGGCGTTTCCTCTTTCTTCGGAGAGCCGATCGTGGATTGGACCGCCGGATTTCCATCGATGGGGTATGAAGTGCCAGAGTTCTGGGCTTGGGTTGCAGGTTCCAGATTCCTGAAATGTTTCTACTAAGCCCTAAACCCTAAACCCTAACCCCTAAAATACCCTAAACCCTAAACCCTTAGGATCTCGCCTAGGCAAGTCCGAGAGTGAGTGCTGAAACCCTAGGATCTGAAGGCGACGCTTTTGTGTTTGTGGCTTCCACGCTGTTGTGCGAAGCTGATGGCTACACATGAAGGTCGACGCGCCCGCACAATACTTACACCATCTTCTGCCCCATGCCTCAACCCTAGACAGTTTCCAAGATCATGAAGCCGCAAAACATTGCACGAAGCGCTGCCTATTTGTAGTACGTCTTACACCTTAAACTCTTGCCCTTATGCCCCAATCACGCGAAGCCTCCAGCGCAGGAATCCGATCACATCTGAGTACCTCGGGTTCCTTCGGCCCTCCGAAGGAATCAATTTCCTGCCACAGGCGGTTCTTTTCAAGGGTTCTACAGGAGATCTAACCAGGGGGTTTTGGGTTAGGGTGTAATAGGGTTTATAAGGGATTAGGCAAGGGGACATTTTCGGTGGAGAGCTTACAAATTCAGATAGGCAGAGTTCTGCAAGTTTAGGGATGGGATGCTGGGGCGTGGGGGGCCAATTGGGGGCGGGGTGTGCAGGGATCAGGATGTACGTGTTTGCGAGGATCTATGACTTGACGATAGTGCCGCCATGTAACTCGGATAGAGGTCTCATGCGCTTCTTCCATAAAGCAGGTTACCTATAGGCCCCAAACTAGTTCTTTCTTGGGATTACCTTATAGGGTTCTAAACATGAACCCCAAGAAGGAACTACTATGGGGCCTATGTGTAGTGATTGGGTTGAAGGACAAGCAAGGATACTGGAAGAGACTAAGTTGATTTGTCGTGTGATGCCCTGGCGCTCTTGTCGTGAAGATCTCATTCAGAGAGGCTCCACGTACAGTACCATGTATGGAATTAGGTCCCAAAAGACCATCCTTACTAAGGCTTTAGGGACCTAATTCCGTACTGGTACTATATATATATATATATATATATGAGAATTTATATATGAGAATATATATATATATATATATGGAGCCTCGGGGATTTGAATTCGACAAGATCTCCGCTGTCTCGTCGGGCATTGGTGTTCAGACCTCCGGGCTCCAACAACCAGGACCCTCCTTGGTGTCCCCCCCCCCCACCCCCCCCCCCAAAGAAGGTCCCTAGTTGTAGGTATTTAGGGGTAGGGATTAGGGTTTAGGGCTTGTGTCCCTCAAAAAATAAGGTCCCTCATTAGAGTTTTAGGGTTTAGGGCTTAGGGCTTCTATCCCCCCGAGACGCTACATGGAGGTCCGAGGAATCAGACACCCAAAACTCTTCTCATCCTTGCACCCCAAACCCCACAAACCGCAAAAAACCTTCGCCCCATACCCTAAAACTTAGACCCTAAACCCCTAAACCCTAAAACCTGCACCCTAAACCCGAACACTTAGACCCTAAACCCCTAAACCCAAGACCCACAAGCCCGGAACTCCCTATCTCTCAGGGTGCTTTCATGTCCTTCTACGGCATCTTTGGCTTCTTCATCTTCGGTGCCTTGGCGAAGTTGGGCATGTTGGAGGAGAGGCGAAAGTTCAGTTCCGCTAAGACCCATCTAAGTTCCAGTGCAGAATGTAGGGGCCTTAACAATTTGAATGGGGTTTTGGGGGTTCCTTATTGTAAGTATACTATAACATACCCCCAAACCCGCTTCTAATTAATAAGGCCCCTCCTATAGTCTCCATTGTAGTTCCTTTTTTTGGTTTAACCAATTATATATTAAGGATTTTATAAGGTATCCCCAAGAAGGAACTACAATGGAGACTATAGGCTGCATTAAGTGTATTAAGGCAGTCGAGCTTAAGGGTCGGCACCTGGAGCCACCACGAGGCAGACGAGGAGGAATAAGGAAGCTTCAAGCTGCGATGGCGGCCTGCTTGTGTGCCTCTTCGGGGTCCATCGGTTTAAGAATCCCTAAACCCTACACCCTAAACCCTAAACCCTAAACCCTAAACCCTGAACCTAAACCCTACACCCTAAGAGCCTAATTTGTTTGAGAAGTCCTCCGAGGCCCCATCCAGTGGTACATCAACGTCTTCAACGTGGGCCAGGGCGTCTGCGAGTTCAACAAGAAGGATGGGTACATGTACATGGCGACTGGGCTGTTGCAGGCGGTTAGAACTTAAACCCTAAACCCTAAACCCCTAAACCCTATACCCCTAAACCCTAAACCCCTAAACCCCTAAACCCCTAAACCCTAAACCCTTAGCCATCAGCTCCACACCCTGCAACCCGGCCCGGAGGTCTCAACCTTATGGGGATGTTTTGGGCTTGGCGTTTAGCTGTAGAACCACGAAAATTTCGCTTGCTTGCCGCCAACCCTGGATTTTTGGTTGCTGCGTGTTTGCGAATTTCCTGGGATATGGTGTTCTTGGTTTTGCGGTGTGGCCTTCCGATCAAGAGACCTGAAGGGAACATTGATCAGACGACGGAAGCAACATTTTTTCCAGATGTTGAGGCGGAACATAGGGCTGAGCAGAGAGTGAACTAGCACATTGACATGACGCTATGTAGCGTGTATGCCTCATCCAGTTGCCAAGAAGATAAACCCCAAACTCTAAAGCCTAAACCCTAGAAGACCCTAAGCCCCAAATCGTTTCAAGGCGACTGGGGAGCCGATAGCTCATGCTGCTCCGAAGGAGCCCCCAACGCAAAAGCGAAGCCCAAAGTTCGCGACCTGAAACCCCGATAGGGTTTTGGGGGGTTCCTTATTCTAATCATAGTAAAATATCCCCCAAATCCTATTCTCAACTTCTACACCATTCTGCCCCCGTTTTTTTGCCCCCTAATAACACTTGAAACCCCAAAGAAGGTCACAAACCCAGAAGCCCTTACCCAGGTGAGAAATGGCGACATGATTCGTGAGGTCCCCCTCTCCGACTTCCAGGCTGCTTTCCTTTTTGTTTGTGGGGGGGGGGGGTTAGGGTTTAGGGTCTAGGGGGTTTAGGGTTTAGGGTTGGGATTTTTTGTCGGTGGCGTAGGGTTTAGGATTTTGCAGTCTTCGCCGGCGAGTTGGGGTGTTGCAGATGAAAATCTCGGCACCGGGCTTGATCAGCATGCGAAGGCGAATGTGCAGCCCCTTTGCCTGAATTCAATTAGGAATCCTCAAGCCCTTTAATCCCTAACCCCAACCTTGCCCCTGCAGGCCGTAAAGTTCGAGTGGACCAACATGGCCATTACCGGAAGCCGAGACTTGTACCTGGTCACACAGGCCAGGTCCAGGGATTTACGCAGGAATCAGAATCCTTGATAATACTCTTGCAGGGTTCCGATTACTTGAAAATACTCCTTGAAAATCCTCATGTTACCACCAAGCCATATTCTACTTACAAAGGCCGCTATACTTGGTCAAGCCGTGGCAAATTGCTCTTCGTCTTGTCGTAGCTGATGCTATTTCTTTAACCCTACAATGATTGTACTAGGACGTGATCTTGGGGCTGCCCGAACAGGGGTAAATTATTTGTTGCTCTCTGGCTTTAATGTAGGGGCCTTGATAGTTAGCACAGGGTCTTGGTGCATATGATACCATAATTAAAACAAGCAGGAGCTCCCAACATGGTATAGGTAGTGATGAAGGCACCTATAGTACTGACCCTAAACCCTAAACCCTAAACCCTAAACCCTAGCCATTTGGCTCAAGACCCTAAGGCTCAAGTGCCAAGAGCGGCTTCTCCCCCGTTGTGTTCCTGGGGTGTCCCCCTCGCGTTTGTTCTGAGGCCTTCCTTTTGCTGCAGCCATCTCTCAGTGTTCTCTCGTCCGTTCGTGGCCCCCGTGCGTCCCCCGTACACATGGGCACCCCGCTGGATGAACAGGAGACCTTGGATCTCCCCCCGCTTCACGACGACGACGTCAGCCCCGTGGGGGGTGGGCGGCTGTTGGGAGGGAATGAGGATGCGCAAATGCGCGAAGCCGCGCATGCGGCGCTTCTGGCGGCGACAGGAGGGGAGGGGAGGGGGGGGATGGGGGAAGTTGGGGGGGGTACGGGACTTCGGAACGCCCTTGCCGCGGCAAACGACGGTGCCTTGGAAGCGGCTCAGAAGCTCCTTAATAAGCACCCCTCTGTTCCTAAACCTAAAGCCTCGGGACCCCAGGGCAGCCCCGGTAAAAAAGCCAGGCCCGAAGGACCTCCTCAAGCAGCTCCCTCTAAAATATCGGCCCCCGGTCTCCAAGCTCCCCCTGTCTTTGGAGGTCCAGGCCCTCCTCCCGCTAAAGATAAGCGTTCCTTGCCAGCCACATACCATATTGGTGATGATGCACCTCCGCCGTGGGCACAGGACCTTCAGCAGGGTCTTTCAAGGTTGGATCGGGGTCAACAAGATACACTAGAGCAGCTGCAGGTCAATAACAGGACTCTACAAAGCATGTCGGATAAGATTAAGACCTTGGAGAGCCGTCAGGACTCGCATCTTGAAAGAACTCAGGCGTTCGAAACCCGCTTATCGACACTGGAAGCAGAGCTGCGGGATCTCAGGTCGCGCAGTCCTAGCATGGCATCCGGCTCAGGTTATGCCTCGCCCCGCACACCCAAAGAGGGTGTACATGATGATTGGCAAATTGCACTAGGGGGGTGGGCAGACGCCAGGCGTGATGCTATTGAGGAGGAAGTCAGAGCATGGTTTGCAAGGGCGGAATGCCTTCCTTTGCTTCAGGATGTGCATGTGAACTCGGTAAGGTCTAACACATGTCGTGTCGACTTGCTGTATATGCAGCCTAATCTCAGGGACAGAAGAAAGGTACAGAACTTGTGCGTGGAGGCCCTACGAAATGCTAGCAGGCCGAGTGACATACCCGGTCAACCCCCGCGGCCCCTTTGGGCCAAACGCAACCGAAGCCCAGCAGAGCGAGCTAGAATCCGCGCCATCGTGACCATCAAGGCCCTGATAACGAGATTTCTGGGTGAAGCGGACTTTGAGTTTGACTGGCGAGGACGTTTCTGGGTCAAAGGGGTTAGCATCTTAGCACATTGGGATGACAAGAAACCAACGGAAGGGGGCTTGTTGCTTCTGGATGCGCGAGGCACGGAGACGGGTTGGTGGATTCCGGGCCCCCAGGTTGCACAGCTGATAGGCACAACGTTGGAGGTAGTGCACTCACACTTTGAAGTGGAGGTTTCGCAAAGCTAGGGGGTAGGCCGGAACAAACGTGTTTTCCCGAAGAATGAATTTGTTTGTTGCACGTGGAATCTTCATGGCAAAGCTATAGAGGACCTTTCTAATTTGCGGGAGGGCATGGTGCAACTTCCTGATGTCCTCTGTGTGCAGGAATTAGGCGGGGTCAAAGATGCAACCCCCGAAGTCACTTCTCGCCCGTGTCTGCTTGGTCGTACGTCGTACACGATGTACGTATGTTCGGCGGAGGAGGCCTTCAGGTGTCAGGCGGTGTTGGTACGTTCCGACATAGGCCTGACCGTAAAGTCCCGTATAGCCTTGAAAGCTGGAATTCTTTTGCATGTTGCATGTCCCCAGCACGTTTTGCATGTTGCATGCCTCCACCTTCCTCACAGCAAAAGAGCGAGCTCTGATCTGCGGCCGGATGCGGACGCAGAAACGGTGTGGAGACGCACCCTTGAAGGGCTTGACGAAGGAACCCGAGACGCGCAGCCCCAGGACGTCATCCTGATCGGAGCGGACTTGAACCAGGACCTCCACGCTAGTGTTGACGAGTTTCCGGGGATGGGTTTGCTGAGGGCTCTCATTTCCAAACATGACCTGCGGTACAACCGTTCTGTGGGCCACACCTGGAGTGCAAGGGGGGTAAGCAGCGAAATTGACTTCATCCTGCTGCGAGCGCATAGGGTTCAAGTTGTGTCGTTCAAACGAGATGACATGAAAGAAGCCCTGCCTTCAGACCACTCGCCGGTTTTCAGCGTCATCTGCACGCCTCGCCCTTTAGTGAACCGAGCGATGAGGCCCAGAACGCAGTGCGGTAGGTGGTGTACCTCTCCCGGACCGTTGGAAGCATATGCAAAAGCTGAGGTTCCCTTTGACCCTGCTGAATTCGCGAATTTATGTGCAAGCCACTCGACCCGCCCTGCTTCCTTGCGGTACCAGGACTCCCCCGAACTCAAGCAATCCATTAGGGAAAGGCGGGAGACAACGGATCCGCAGGTAAAGGCGGCCCTGCTGTGCAAGGTCCGTCACGAGAGGGCCTTGGCCAAGGCGGATCACAAGATTAAGATCCTGGAGGATGCCCGCGCGGGAGACCGAAAGGCTATAACCTACCTTCGTAAGAGTGCGGCACAGCGCTCCTTTGAAACGAGCTACATCGAGCTTCGAGGCGGGCAACAACAAGCGGCACATGAACTTCAGCAGTTTTATGAAGCTAAGTACTCCTCCTTTTTGCCCGCTCCTACTAAAGAAGCTGTCGACCAGATGCTTCGTACTCATACATCGATCCAACCACGGCCTTTCCATGAGGACGAACTTGCAGCAGCCATTGCTAGATGCAAACCACGTACGAGCTCAGGCATGGACGGAGTGTGTTACGAGGCTATTAAAACGTATCACCGGCAGGACTCTCGGGGCAAGCTACTGCAGTACTTCAATCGCTTACTGCATGAAGAGCTTGCGGTGCCTTCGAATTGGGCAGAAGCCAAGGTAGTTCTATTGCCCAAGACTCCAGCTCCAGCATGTCCTTCTGACCTGCGCCCTATCTGTCTGTCCCCTTGTTTATCAAAGGTCTTTGGGAGACTCATCATGAACAGGGTCGCAGCACGATGCCCGCCGTTTGCGAGCGGCCGACTTGGCTGTAGAAAGGGCACCCAAACGGTTGACGGTATCTTGGCAGCCCAGACAGTGGTAGGGATTCTCAGGCGCAAGCATGGGGTTGAGGCACATGTCGCCAAGTTGGACATACGTGCCGCCTTTGACAGCTTGGCACATTCGGCAGTTGTTCGTTACTTGGCAGAGTGTGAGCCGTGCCCTGAGGCGGGCCTCCTTTGGAAGTTATGCTCGGCAAACCGCTTGCACATGTCCCTAGGGACCCACTCCTGGCAAGTCCCGGTGAAGCAGGGCATCATGCAAGGAAGCAGCTACTCAGCCGACCTGTTCGCCAGGGTAATAGATAGGCACATAAGGGGGCTACAGCCGAGATGGAATGCAATGTTCCCGGCCTGGGAGGACGGACTTTGCCTCCCACACTTTCTGCTGTATGCCGATGATATTTTGTTGTTCGCGATGAGTGCCGCAGAGCTCCAGAGGAAGTTGCGAGACTTGACAGACAGCTTGCAGTGCATCGGCCTTTTCATTAATGCGAGGAAGTGTCAGGTCCTGAACATCAAAGGGGTTACTCCAGGTGTGTGGCCGAGAAACAGCGCCGTCCCGCTGGAGGGGCGTGACGCCCTCACTTTCTTAGGGGTCCCCCTCAGACATACCAACGACCCTGAATCCATGCTTACACACTCTTTGCGTAAAATGACGAATTCGTATTTCGCCATGAAAAAGCTGCTTGATCACCCCTCCACGCCCCACAGGTTGAAAGCGACGCTCTTCGAAAGTTACGTTTCCTCCCGCTGGTCGTGGTGTAGTTCAGTGGTGTGGCCCAGCGTCAGGTCCCTTAGATCCCTTGAAGGCCTCAAGAACTCACTTTTGCTGGGAATCTTCAGATTTGCTCCGGACCCCTTTAGCACATGGGTTGAAAACACGCAAGGGGTTAGAAGAGCTCTGAAGTTGTACTGCGATAGGTTCTCAGGACCCCGCTGGCAGGTGACGTGGCTCACTAGGATATGGACCTATATATATGGGCCACTTGGCACGCTGTCAGGTGGATACGCCACTTACAGTCTTAGTGCGCACCCTTAGCTCTCACAAACTAGCGCTGCGAACGCTGCGCCCTTCGTGGCTCAGTGAATGCCCCCTCCATAAGTTCAGGCTATTCTACTCCCGTGTCAGACAGGACGGCGAACATGAACACTGGGAATG